AATAAACAAACTAAATTAAAATTTAAAAAAAAAGACTAGAACAAGTACATCAATGGGGAAACACCAGAAATACAAGCTGAGTTTAGAAGAGGCACCCGGGGAAATCACTGCTGATGTTAGATGGATCTTAGCTGAAAGCATAGAGTACCAGAAAGATGTCTATTTGTGTTTTATCAACTATGCAAAGACATTTGACTGTGTAGATCACAACAAATTATGGCTGGCATGGAGAAGAATGGGAATCCCAGAACACCTGTTAACAATTTCATCTTGCTCAGATCCACAATCAACACCACAGCAGTCAGAAAATCAAAAAACAAGGTGCATTGAGAAAAATCTGTTGTCAGGGACCTTTCCAGAGCATTAAAGAGCAACAATGTCAGTCTAGAGACTAAGGTGCACCTGATCCAGGCCATGGTCTTCTCAATTGCTTGCTAAGCATCAGAGCTGGACAATGACTAAAGATGACAGAAAAAGCAACAACGCCTTTGAGTTATAGTGTTGGAGACGACTTCTGAATATACCATAGACTGCTAAGAGAACAAACATGTCTGTCCTGGAGAGCATGAAGCGAGGCAGTTCCTCAGAGGCAAGGATTTTGAAACTCCAACACACATACTTCAGTCATCTTGTCAGGAGGGACCAGTCCCTGGAAAAGGCTATCATACTTGTAAGAGTAGAAGGGCAGGAGAGGAAGACACTGGATGAGATGGACAGAAACACTGACTGTGGCAACGGAGTTAAGTTTGTCAGAAACAGTGAAGTTGGCTTAGGACAGGGCAAGGCTCAGAGCCATTATTAACAGGGTAGCTATGAGTCGATGTCGGCTCGATGGCACATGACGATGACCACTAATTTATATACATCTTTGAGATCTCAGTTTAACTTCCAATTCTTCAACAAAACGTTTACAGTTCTTCAGAATCATTTAGAAGATCTCTACTACATAATTTTCAAACTAATTTGTAACATTTTATCACCCGCCTCTTACTGAGGGCTGTACTAGACGTTCCGGTTACCCGAGTATGTATGTTCAGCCGAAACAATCCCATAAACTAAATATCGCCGTAGAACTAGATTAAAGATTATATAACTAGTAAAGTGTGGGACACGGGACTGAATCCATTCACGTGTGCCTATCGATAATATGGCTATACAAAAGAACAATAAGGCCCATTCTCTTCGCTAGACAAACTCGGGTCTAGTAAAGGAGAAATGCGTGAATCTCCATGAATTGATAACCTGGATGTTTTCTGCCCCAGATTCTCCTCCTAACCCTCCCCATACAGCTGCAGTGCACGAAAACACCGGAGCACGAGTACCATTGACACCTTGAGACAAGGCCTCGGGTACGCGGGCCTACGACTCACCTGGGCCCCGCCCACCGTCCCATGGAGCTGCAACAGGCACAAGAGCCCAGGCAAATGTGGGACCGGGCGGACAGGGGGATGTACGGAAGGAACAGTGGACCCCGTCCGAGGCTGTAGCAATCCTGACACGCTCTCCAGAAGCAACAGGCGGAGACGCGGACCGGAACTCATCGCCGAGAGACCCCCGGTTCCACCGGGAACGCAGGCCGCCGAGCCCGCAGAGGGACCGCTCAGAACGGATGCCGCCATATTCGCCCGAGCTCTAGCGGCGGCGTGGTGAGATGACGTAATCACACGGCGACAGCCGCGGACTGTCGAGGGTGCGCGCGCAAGGGGCTGTGGTTCAGCGCACTAGGTAGGTAAACGGAGTTTTGGGAACCCCCCACGCAGAGAGCATGCGTGCATGCAGAGAGCAAGGCTTCCCATTGGCGGAAATTTAGCTTCCAAAGAGTACAGGGGCAGCTTCTGGCAGGGTGGGCGGGAGTGGAGCACGTGGTTACTACAAAAGGCGCCGGAGTTCAAAAGGTTTTTATTTCAGAATGTTAAAGTTAGTACCTAGGAGGTCATTAAGAAATAGGTCCTCCTGTTTCAAAGCATAGACATTTTTAACTGCATTTATGACTATACAAATGATGCAATATACGCGTTTTACAGAAAAGATATTCAAACAATACCGAAGTGCATCAAATAAAAATAGACATTGCCTCTCTCCCATCCCTTTCCTAATTAAGCGTATTTTGTTAATGTTCTACACATAGCATACTAATGCGTGATTTGTTTTACAAGAATTGAATCAGTACTTGGCTTTTTGCTCTCAATATCGTGTCTCTGTGTCGTTACAGCTTTATTAAAAACTTCATCTTGTAATCTGAAATCAGTGCATGGTGATTTTTTATTTTTACTTTTCCCGAATTGTTGCATACTTTTGACAGCTCAAATTTTTCACTAATAATAAACATACAATGAATAATGTATTTCCGTGATTATTACATTCAAATCTAAGAGTCATTTTTTTCATCAACTAACAAAACTACCTCCAAAATATATCTTATTTGGTTCCTTTTACTCCATTTCTGCGTGTCCAGTGCCACTAGACCATACCACTACCTGCCATGTTATAATAATCTCTTAAAATGGCTTCTCCGTTGCTCTCCTTCCTCAGTCTTTCATTTTGATCTACTAGATTTAACTTTTGACCCAAAATCTTGACTTCGACACAGACAACATATCCCACTCTCCCTTTCACTATCTTTAAGATTCCTTTTAAGAAAGAGCATTCCAAAACTGAGGCTGAAATGTCAAATCCTTTCTTGTCTTGCAATGACTCCTCTTAAAAAATAAAAAAATAAAAAAGACTCCTCTTTGTACTTGTCTGTCTTATAATTTGGACTGTCACATTTGTAAAAAAAACCCAAACACACAACCCACTGTACATTTGACCTAGATACAAGCAATCTTGGTTGGGGAGGAGGTCTCGCTAGAGGGTCAGCAGTGGGTATTGAGTTACTCTGCTTACAGATGGGAACTGTGGTAGCCTAGTGGTAAGGAGCTGTGCTGTCAACCCAAAGGCACTGTTCAAGTTCACCAGCTGCACCATAGGCAAAAGATGGACAACCTCTTCTCTTGCAGCTTATAGCCACTGAAAGCCCAGTAGGCAGTCATCTAAGAGTTGGTTCCAACTTGATGGCACATAATAACAATATGTTGTTGTTGTTAAGTGCCATTGAGTTAAGTTCTGCTAATAGAGATGCTATTAACAACAGATCTAAATCCTTGTCCTATCCTGTGCCCTCATCATCATCTCTGACATACTTGAATCAATGTTGCAGTCACTGTATCAGTTCATCTCACTGCGGTCATCTTTCACTGACCTTCCTTTCACCTTTCCAAACATGATGTCCCTTTCCAAGAAATTGCCCCTCCTAACAACATGTCCAAAGTATGTGAGATGAAGCTTTTCTAAACCTTACCTCTAAGAATCACTCTGGCTGCACTTTGTCCAAGATACATCTATTCTTTTAGAATTCCATAGGATATTCAGTACTCCTCTAACATCACAATTCAAAGTCATCAATTCATCTTCCTCATCCTCATTTATTGTCCAGCTCTCAGATGGAGCAAGTGATTGAAAAATACCATATCTTGAATCAGGCACACCTTAGTCTCTAACTTGACATCACTAACCTTAGTACTTTGGAGGGTTACTTTATAGCAGACTTTCCCAATGTATATGTCTTGATTTCTTGACTACGGATGCTAAGAGTGTTGGTTGTAGATCCAAGCAAGATTAAATTGTTGTTAATTTCAATATTTTCTTCATCTATCATGATGTTTGTTGACTACTGGCCTGGTAGAGGGTTTCTTGCCTTCTTGATGTTGGGATGTATCCATATTGAAAGCTATAGTTTTTGATCTTCTGCAGCAAAGTGTTTCAAATCTTTACTTTGAGCAAGCAAAGTCCTGTCATGTTCATAATGCAGGTTGTTAATTAGTTTGTTTCCTATCCTGATACCATATTTTTCTTTATAGAGTCTAGCTTCTCGAATTATTTGCTCAGCACAGATAGAATAGATATGGGGAAAGGATACAGCTCTGACACACACCTACCTCAATTTTGATCCCTTGCTCTGTTCAGACAACAGTCTTGTACAGGCATAGGTTTCACATGAACTTAATTATGTGTTCTGTAATTCTCATTTTTCACAGTGTTAACCAAAGTTTATTGGGATCTATACAGTAAAATGTTTTTGTATAGTCAATAAAGCACAAATACACATGTTGTTGTTATTTGTTGTTGTTATGTGCCATCGAGTTGCTTGCGACTCATAGCG